ATATTAATAGTATTATGTACCATTTATTGAAAACTTGCTATGCGCTGGGCACTTGAATCCCTTTACTGCAGTACCTGGGCAGTGCATGGAGGCCCTGCATGGAGGCCCTGAGAGGCGAACAATGTGCTCGAGGTCAAATGGCTTCAATGTAACAAGCCAGGCGTGGGACCTGTCTGGGAAACATCCAGATGTTTGCTCCTGATGCTCCTCTGTGTGTTGGTGCGCACGTCTGGACTCAGCTTCTGTGACCGTGCCAGATTCAGGCGTGAAAGGCAGTGCCTCTTCAGGGGAGGCCCCTGGGAAGGAGCTTGCTGTAGGTAGGAAGGAATGGGGAAACATTTGCTGATTGAATGGGTAAATGAAGGAGTGTTTGCTGACTAGGGACCGAACGAAGAGCTGCACGTGGGCAGAGCTCTGTACTGTGAGGTAGGCAGCCCCCCGATGGCCCCTGCCCCCCGGCCATCATCCTCCCTGCCTTCCCCCCCTCCCACACTGCGTCAAGCTGGTCTGTGTGGCCACGAGAATGCTGCAGACATGATGGTGTGCGACTGCTGAGGCTAGGTCACGAAAGACACGGCAGCGTCCACCTTGCTCCCTCGGATCACTCCCTCTGGGGAGGCTAGCTGCCATATTGTGAGGACCCTCAAGAGGCCCTGCAGAGAGGCCCCCCTGGAAAGGGAGCCTCCTGCCAGCAGCCAGCACCAGCTGGCCAGCAGTGTGACCAAGCCATCATGGAGGTGGGTTCTCCAGCCCCACTCAAGCCTTCAGATGAGACTGTGGCCCCAGCTGACAATCTCTATCGCAACTTTGCAAGAGACCCCAATCTAGAGCTACCCAGTCAAGCCACTCCAGAATTTCTGACGCTCAGAAACTGTGAGAGAAAATAAACATTTATTGGTTTAATCCACTAAGTTTGGAGGTGATTTGTTACACAGTGACACATAACTAATACACATTAGTAAGTCTATTTTGCGCTGAAGAGAGCACCCTGGAAGAGACAGTCAGTCCCGTCTGTGCCCTTCTCACTTGCGACACTTGCCTCTCAGCTTGTTTTGTATTACAGTAAAAAAAATAGGAGATAGATTTGGTGTTTTTTTTAAGCTTTTTTTTTAAGATTTTATTGGGGAATTGGGGGAGGGAACAGTGTTGGGGAATTGGGGAAGGGGAACAGGCAAGTTGCTGTCCTTTTGTTCTTCAGTCTAGTTGTGGAGGACGTTGCTTCACTGGCCCATGTTGGTATTGTGATCATTGCGCTCTTCCCTGGTGAGGCAATCACTTGCCGGCCATTGGACGGCCAATCACGGTGGCTCATGCTGGCTGCCAGCCATTCATAGTAGCTCATGGCAGCCCCACTGCAGCCTATGCCGTTGCCAGCGACTCACGGCAGCCCAGCTCCAGGTTGAGCTGTTGTTCACCACCTTAGTTGTAGAGGGCGCAGCGTCACTGGCCCTCATGTGGGATCCAAACCAGGGCCCTGCTGCTCAGAGCTCATATCCCAAGCTAACTCTTAACAAAAGAGCCACTCGCCCGGCCCTAGATTTGGTTTTAAATCCAGGCTTCCCAGTTTACAATTTGGATGACTTGAGGATTTTTATTGGCATGAGTTCTTCTCCGTATCCTTTTCATGTCTTCTCCCTCCTTTCCTCTTCTCATCGTATTTGTCTTCATCCGTCTTGCCATGGTAATTGTAGCATTGCATTGTGATGGCTGTCATTTTTCAAGTACCTGTTATATGCCAGATGCTGTGCTAGGGGATCTACAGACATGATTTTATTTAATTCCCTCAACAACCCTGGTGGTGGTGGTGGGGTTAGGCATTATTATACTCATTGTTTTTCGAAAAGATATGGAAACCAAGGTTCCAAGCTGCTGTGTCATCTGCCCACGACCAGACAGAAAGAATCAGGATTCAAAGCCAAGCTTGTGGGAAAACCAGAGCCTACCCTCGTTCCCACTGTGCACCTCGACTTCTGAGCCTCAGTGTTCTCGTGTGTAAAATGGGCACGATCCTAACCCAGCGTGAGCAGAGGCGGCGCCTGGAAAGCAGCCAGCCCTGTGGGTGGCATGGCGCAGGGGCTCAGGAGGTGGAGGCCCCCGTGCTCTCCTTGCTTTCCCCTGAACCTGCCCTCCCATGAACTTTAAGATGGGTTGTTTTGACCTTCCTATAGGCAAGGTCATGCCAAGCACCTCTCACCATGAGAACAGAGGGGAGTTGATGTGCTGAGAGCTGGAGACCACTGGGCCTGCCCCAGGACGGGGTGGGTGCCCTGGGCCTGGAGTCCAAGGAAGTGGTAACACCAGCTCTGGCCCCACCCACGGAGCCTGTACCATGTGCCAGCTGTCTGCCCGGAGCGGGGAAGTGTCCTGCCCACACTCACGCAGAAAGGAAGGAAGGAAGGGCTGGAGCCGGCTTTCATACCCTGGTCGGTACCTATAGAGAGGCTGGTGTGTGGAGATGGCTCCAGCTGGAGGACCCCAGCTGAGAAAACATTGTCCTCAGGGGGGATCGCGCCATCTCTTGTATCAGGCAAGAAGCCCCAATTAATTACAAGTGTTAAGTGCGTGGTCTGGAAGCAGGGTTTTGCAGTCAATTAAAGGGCTGCTGGAGGAGGCTTCGTTAACTCCCTGCCTCCTGGCAGCTTTTGGTTTAGGAGAAAGCTGGGACCTGTCCGATGGTAATGAGCTCCCCAAACTGTGAGGCATGCAAGCAGAGTGCCCTCTCCCAAAGATGGCACAGGAGGGACCTCCGGGTGGCATGGGAGGATGGATTTGACTTGAAACCCCCTTCCCATTCCAGGTTCTTGATTTCCTGTGCTTTGACCCGTGGGATGAAGTAAATGGTCAGGACTGCTCCGTTTGGGAGTTAGGCACGCAAAGTCAGTTTGGGCATCTCCTGTCCGCTCCAGTGCGGAGAGCAGACTGCTGACTGGAGCCTCCCCAGGATCCTCACAGCCAGAAGCCCCAAACCCAACTCCTTATCTTCCTCCGGACCTGTCTCCCCGTGTTCCACGTCTTAGAGAATGGAGCCACCAAGACGGAGACACAGGCATTATTAGCCTGAACCGGCTTCCACCATGCCCCCCATGTCCAGTCCTCAGGGCCTGCCCATTTGCCCGTCTGTGTCCCTCCACTCTGCTTACTTCTCCCTGTCCCTTCGCCACTGCCTGAGGTCAGACCTCAGCATTTCCAACCTGGACATGTGACGTCTGCTCATGGCACACCTCTGCCCAGGACCCTTCAGTGGCTCCGCAGTGCCTGTAGGAAAGGCGCATGCTCCCTCGCCTGGTGCCTGGGCTGATGTCCCTGCTCTCCGCCATGTTGGACTCATTCTGTCTCCTCCAGGCCTTTGTGCCAGCCCCTCTCTGCCTGGGGTGCCTTCCTTCTCCACCAGGTTGATGCCTCCAGGGCGCACCGAGCTCCCTAACTCAGAGTCCAGGGGGGCTGCTGCTCAGTGCACTCGCCCAGGTTCATGGGCAGATCTGGGAGAATGGACAGGAAGGGTGAGGCTGGGGCTAGAAGAGTGGGGTCAGGTTCTGCCTCCACACCCCACTGTCCAGTAGGCACAGGGAGCTAACAGCCAAGTGACTGACCATGAAGTAAATGAGTTGGAGATTGATCGCCTGGGCCCTGAGTTGGCACGGGGTTCCTGAGCGCCCACTCACTGTGGGCTTGACTTTGTGGTGGGTGCTGGGAGGCACTGGGGTATCAGCCAGCCAGTCCTGCCCTGCTGAGCTCCCCGGTCAGCGAGAGGGACATGTGCAGTGACATAAATCACAGTAGAATCTGCACAGTGGCATTCGTTGGATGCTTGGCATGCAGTACTAAGAGTGTGGGTACAGGACCCCATTTACTCCTCACCCAGGAGGTCAGAACAGTTACTATTATTATCCCCTTTCACTCGCAAGCAAATACTCAGAGGGGTTAAATAGCTCGTTTAAGAGCACTGTGCCAGGTGAGGGAGCCCCCGGGAAGCAGCTGTCTGATACCCTGCACTGTGTGAGCACAGCACCAAACTGCTGTGGGCAGGCGGACGGGCTGTGTCACTCAGGGCAGGACCCTTACAGGAGATGACATGAGCTGGGTCTTGAAACTTGAGAGAAGTGCCCCAGGGTGGGAAAGGGTACCGTTCATTCCAGGCCGAGGAGGCACAATATGCAAACATGCAGCAGCATGGTATGTGGGAGCAGGGGGTGGGGGGTGCTTGGGGCTCAGAGGTAGGGGTCTGACCAAGCAGGGTGCAGTCAGAGCACATGGGGCCATTTTGACAATCTTGATGTTATCCTGTCGGCCCTGATGAGTGTTGGGCAGGGGGGTGACATGGTTCAGTCTGTGTTGTTCAGGGCAGCCTCCTAGGCAGGGTGGGCGGGTGGTGAGGAGAGCATGAGTGGGAGGGAAGGGGCAGAGGCTGGGACACCGGCGTGTGGGGAATGGAAGGGGCCCAGCCAGGCGCAGAGAAGAGGGGACTTTGCTTAAGGTAGGGGGAGGGCGGCGGGTAGCCGGGGGGTGGGGGGCTCCTGGTCTGGTCCTGACGCCTGCACGCAGCCTGGGAGGTGTCTGTGGACAGGAGCGGTGCCGAGGGGTCCTCTGTGTGTCCCCAGCCTCCTGCTGGCAGAGGGCAGGCACTCCATCGGAGTTGGTGGGATGACCAGTGACAGACCTTGTGACTGGGCTTTATGCCTGATGTCCCACCCGAGGAGCTTGGCTGGCCAGAGATGGGGTGTGGGTGGGGCGTTGCGGCCAGGCTGGACCACCAGCTCTGGGGGTTGTACAGTTGGCTTTGAATGGTGGGAGGTGAGTGGCCCTGAATCCCCAGGACCAGTCCTGATCCGACCTCAGTTGATTTCTGGGGTCATTTCCAGTGTCCCGGCCAGAAGTAAGAGTAAAACTGAAGGTTTTCTGGGGTCTCTTGAGCTCTGTGGGTCAGCCTCCCCCATCTCAGCTGGTACCCCGTGTAGCCCTGTTGGTGCCGACAGACAGAAGAGGACAGACAGACTGAGAGCTGCTGTACAAGGTCTTTTCTTGGTTGTCATGGTTGGTTTGGTACATCTTAGCATCTGCGTCATACAAAGGGGGAGCAACAGCCATGGCTTTTGGTCAGGTTCAGGGGGGCATGAGGGGGTGCCCCTCCCCTCCCCCAGGCACTGACACGTGTAAAGGAAGCAGAGCAACAAGGACACAGCACAGATGTGGGGAAAGGATCCCCGCGTGAGCAGGATGGTCGTCCTCACCTCGTCTCGCTAGGACCCCGCCCCGGGGCCAGCGTGAGCACCTCCCAGCTCTCCGCCGTGAAGAGGGTGGGCAATAGGAGCGAAGAGGGGAGCAGGGCAGGTGCGGGGAGGCGGTTCTCAGGCTTGGGAGACGTCCCTTCATCTGAGCCAGTCGGGCCCCCAGCCCCTGTGCGGTCAAGGGCTGCGGGACCCTGGAAGGACGGAGCAACTGGGTGGAGGGCATACGTGGCCCTGCCAGCTGGGTGCCAGGGTCTCTGGGGCTGGAGATCTGCCCCTGTTCACTCTAACCACTGGCCTTTGGGGCGGCTGCTTTGCCCATCAGCTGTCCCACCTGAGGGCCCTGGGCTGAAACACCTCTTTTCTTCATCTCTCTTTCTCCTTCTCCTTCCTCCTCTTCACTCTTTTATCTATCAATCTATCTATCAACACACACGCACACACGCACGCACGCACGCCCCAGGAAGGTCTCTTGACCTTGTCCTTGAGTTTGGAGGAGACCCTCCACAGCTTTGCTGGGAAGGACGTAGAGCGGAGAATTCCACATGTGGAAATCTAGGCCTGTCCCCAGTGCCCTGCGCGGGAGGTCCAGAGAGGCCCTGTCCCTTCTCTCTGGCAGCGACCTTCCTGGCACCCAGCCCGGCCATGGCCTTCCCCACATCGGGTGGTGCTTGCTCCCTTGCGTCTTGTTCCCTTCTCTCCATGTACGGAGATCATGCTTCCTATTCTCCTGGCTGGGTGATGTCTCCCATGTATGTTGTGTGTGTGCTGCATTCTGGGGTCTCTCCCTCCTCACCCCACTTCCCCAGTGCGTCATGCCCCCTCCCATCCAGCGGGCCATGCACACCTCCAGCCCCAGACATTCCATGTGGTTATCCTTCCCTTGCTAGAGCACCCCACACATACTTTGTCCCCCCACGGGTGTGTTGCACGTGACATCCTCTTTGGGCTGCACGTTAGCTTCTCTCCAGAGTCAGGTCTGTGGCAGGAATGACAGTCACCTTGTCCCCCTGGACCTAAGAGTGGTCACCTGGCAGTGGCTGGAGCCAGGTGTGCCCTCAGGCTGAAGTTCTCCCCTGTTCCCGCCTCCAGGCAGGCTCCCAGTCCTGCGCTCAGGAGCAGGCTGGAGGAGACTGGCGAGCCTAGGAAGTGTGCCAGATGAAGCCAGCCAGTCTGGAGGGCATTCTCATGTGGGAAAAGGCCTGAGCCTGCGCTGGGGACGCCCTCCGAGGGTCGGGGCTCCCTCAGGCCCACCAGGGCTAGCTTTCATGGTTATCCTCCCCTGCTCGTCGGCAGCTCCCAGGCCTTGGTCTCTGCTGCCCAGCGGCACTCTCTGCCCTGGCCCCACCTTCAAGGTCTGTGGGCCTGTCAAGGGAGAGAGCTTTCTGAACACTTGGGCTCCACCCCTGCCCTGGTGTGCCTCACATACAGGGTCTGGGGAGGCCCAGGTCCTTCCTGTCTCTGCTCCAGGGCTCCAGAGAGGACCATCCTGCCCAGGATAACTGACACAAACAGACAAGCAGACAACAGGGGTGCGGGGTGGCTCCCCATCACAGACACAGGCACAGACACAGGCCCCCTGGGGGGCAGGATGTGGGTGGGGGGGGGCGAGGGAAGGGGAAGCCCAGGGAGCTGGCGCTGCTGGGGCCCTGCTCCCCAGAGAAGGGACAGACCAGGGGACTTTTCTGGGTCCCTAAACATATGGATTGTTTTGTCTTGTCTTTAAAGTATTGCAGTCTAACTGATATGGCTTTAACTATTGGAAACGGACAGAGGAGACACATGTCTGTCTCTGAAATAAAAGCATAAATCCACTAACATGGAAAACCTGCAGAATGCAAACGGGCCAGTGGGGCAGGGGCTCAGGGTCAGGCAAGTCGCCCCCTCCCTGGCCCCTGCTTTTGGGGTAGGCCCTGGCTGGGACCCAGCATGGCTTCTTAGGGCACGACCTGGGTCTGTCCCAGTGGACTTCTGAGGACTCAGGCAGGAACCCCCAAGGACAGGAGGACTCTAGGCCAAGAACAAGGTCTCCTGTTGGATGTGACTGCTTGTGACCGATGGTCAGGGGATGAGAGGGGGCGTCTCACCCATGTTCTCTCCCCAACTCCTCATTCTGCACACAGCTACCTTTTCAGAGCCACACACGCACACAACAGCCTTAGAACATCTAGCAGCAATCTGAAACACACATTTCTGCAACATCTAACACACACCATCACTCCTGACATACGGGGTGTTTTGAAAATACAGGCAAATACAAGCTGACACCTGCAAACTCTAACACACATATGAGATGGCTAGCACACATAAGACACCAGCTCAACTCATACACACCACCTCAAACAAGCACACATACGGTCTCTAATACGGGGACGTGATGACTAACACACACACACACACACACACACACACACTCACACACACACTCACACTCTAACCAGACACCTATACATACAATCTCTGGACACACAATTGCTGATGCAGTCGCTGCCACGCATACTCAGGCATGCATGGACACACACTTTCCTCCCTCGTTTGCCCCATGGCCCCCCGGTTCTCATGCAACTGACTGAGCAGGAGGCCTTGAAAATTTGGGGCGGGAGGAACAAATGTCGGTCTCACATCCCAGAGGAGAGTTTGTTCTTGGCCAATGAGATGAATGGACAGATGCCTTCTGTCAAGTGGAGACTGGCTTCTCCCCAAAGGCTTGGGGCTTTGTCCGGGAAGGGTCCTCCAGGGGACCATCGGGTCCTGGAAGCACGTGGACAGGACAGGTGGGGAAGAAGAGTGGATGGGCATGGGGGCAGCCTGGCTGCACCAATGGGGAGGGGGGGGTCCCATGGCATGGGCCATCACTGCCCAATGGCTCCAAGTGTTTTCTAGGGGGCCTGGGCAGCCCCTTGGCTGGGCAGGCTGGGCCCAGACTGGCAGTGGGGCCCAGGACCCGAGTGGAGGGTGGGGGGAAAGGAGCTGCCTTAGTCTGGGCCCCTCCACAGATGAGTTCAAGTCCAAAGAGGGTCCACGTGGAGGGACTGGTTGGGCAGGGGCTACACCTTTTAGGGCAGGAGGTTTGGGGAGGGAAGGAGGGCCACAGCCTCCGGCCCAGAGTGCAGCAGGGCCCCTCAGGCTGGGCGCTCGCAGGGCAGGCTCACCCCGACTCCCCTCCACGGAGCCGGGCCACTCAGCGCCCCTGCCCTGACCTGGAGACCCCCGGGGGTCAGAGGCCCGAGGTCAGCATGCTGGGCAGGGCTGGAATGTGACATTACTTTGGCTGGCTGGGGACAGTGGTCCTCCTGGCAGTGGGGTGCGTGAAGGAATGTACAGGGGTTACCACACTAGCACAGACCTTAGGCGTCCGGAAGAGGCCCCCAGCGCTTCCCGCACTGGGTGTAATGCCTCCTGCTGGGGAAAAGCTGGTCTCCCTTTTTCAAGCAACTTGGGAGTGAGGTGGGGGCTGGATACCCTGGGATGAAGGGGGTGTGAGAGAGCCCCTGGCCAGGGAAGGGGGGCAGAGGCCAACGGAGGTTTTCCAGAACTGAAACTCAACTGAATAAACAGAAAAGAAAGAACCAAACAGGAAGAAAAGGAGCGGGCGGGGCCGGGGCGGGAGGACGGTTACTTCTTGAACATGTCCTGCAGCGGCCCGGGCAGGTACTTGAGCACCGTGTCCAGGATGCTCTCGTCCTCCTCCTCGTCCTCGTCCCCGCAGCCCGCAGGGATGGCCTTCTTGGGCCGCGTCAGGCTGCCCTCGCAGGGCTGCTCCAGGGCCGCCTTCTCCTCAGCCTCCTTCTCTTCTTTCTTCTTCAGCCCATACTGGGGGGGGGGGAGGAGACAAGCATGGAGAGAGCTGGTCCCGCGGGCACGGAGACTCGGCTGGGCAGCTCCTGAGCACCCCTGGCCTCAGTCCTCTCATCTGTAAAATGGAGCTAAGGACCCCTTGTAGCATTGAGCCTGTCGCCCTCAGTGGGTGCTCACTCGGTAAGAGGGAGACAACACATGGGGTTTCCTTTCAAATGAATACCTGCCCATAATAACTTCTCTGCTCTTTTGAAACCCCCCAAGATCCGAAAAGCAAAAGTTCTAGCATATATTTGTACCCAAATTTTGGTGACAAAACTTGACTTCACCTGATGGAAGGTTACTTTTAACCTTGATTTATTGCGGTGGTGTGACCCGCCGAGTGTTGGGCGGTTTGGCATATGGCGGCAGCCTCAGATCCGCTAGGTGCTCAGGGCGCTATAGTGCTTTTAAGAAACCCCCCAATTTTGGATTCCAAACGTATTTGGCCTCCAGGGTTTCGGGTAGGAGATCACAGCCTCGCAGCAGCAAGCATCAGGAGCATTTCCTACGTGCGTTCGTTATCTTATGCAATCCACATAGGCCCTTGAGGGAGGTGGTCCCGTGACACCCACTTTTCTGATGAGAAGTTTGAGGCACTGAGCGAGAGCTAGGTCTCGGGTCAGAGCTGGGACTGAGGGTTCGGGGACCCGCGGCCCCCCTGGGCCCCTGGCGGCGCTGACCTTGTCTCGGATCTGCTGCCGGACCTTCTCGCGCTCCGCCTCCATGCGCGCGTGCTTGGCCTTGCGCTCCTCCTCCTGCTGCCGCAGCGCCTCCTGCCGCTCCTCCTCCTTCTTCTGCGCGTCGGGGTCCTTCTCCTCCTCTCCCCCCAGCATCTTCCCCATGTCCTTGGTGGCCCCTGCACGGGAGGGGTCGGGAGGGAGAGGGCGGGGTCAGGGGCCTGTTCTGAGGCCCTCTTCCACCTGGGCGGGGACACCCGTTGAGAGTGAGGGGTGTGGGGCGCTCGCCTCACCTCCAAGGGCCTGCTTCATGACGAAGTCCATGCCTGTGACTGGTTAGTGCGCCCTCGCCCACAGCTGAGTTTGCATGCAGCGCCCCAGGCAGTCCTGTCTCCCGAGAGGTGCCAACCTGCAAAAAAGGAGTGAGGGGTCAGATGGGAGAGACCCCTGCACAGGCAGGGCGCTGGAGTTAGGCCGACAGCGACCTCGTCCTGGTTCAGGCACGGGGCCCCAGCAGTCCGAGGCCGAGCCCCAGTGCCCTGGTGCTGAGGGGGAGGAGATGGAAAGGGGCATTTCTTGAGCACTTGCTATGTGCCAGGCACGTCCATGCTGCCAAACGGCGTCTGGTCCGTGTTTTAAAACCATCTTGACCATATTGCTTGAATTTGTTTGAAGCCAGGATTCTTGGAAAGAGCCTGTAATTGGGACTCAGGCAGAGCAGGGTTCTAATGCCACCCTCCTTCCTTATTTGCCATGTGACTTTCATGCAAGTTTCTGAGGCCCCCTGAGCCCGTTTCCTCCTCTGTAAGACAGAAATGGCAGTGTCTCCCTTCCCGGAGCTACTGTGGCGCCTGGAGGGGATTCCAGCCTGGGCCATGGATCGACTCCTAGATGGAGTGAGCGTGTGCTCAGGGGCTGTAAAGAAACGAGAACAGCTAGCTCGGATGAACATATCCATTCTTCTGAAATTAGACAGATGGAGAAATAAATTATCTGTATTGCAGCATACATGTGAGTTTTGTGTTTTATAGCTTAATATTGATTGTTTTTTTGAATTACACATAGGGGGCTAGAGACACGATAATCTTCTCTGGGCTTAGAGCATTTAAGGTCCCAAGCACAGGGCACTTGTAAGCCCTCAGCTTATGGTAGTCTTCCTTGCCCTCTTCCTAAATCACCGAGTTTCAGTTTTTATTATCATCTTTATTATTATTTTGCCCCAGAAGATTTTCTTCAAATAAAATCTTAATGGGAACCTCAATATGCCAAGTATGTAAAAATGGAACTATTCCAGTGGGGAGGGGGTGGGAGGCGGGAGGGCTCGGAGCCTCCCTCCACCCTTGGCCTCCTTCTTACGCCATTTCCTCCACATCCCTGAGAACTTGAACCCTGGCTCTAATTCACAGATTTCATTTTTATTATAATCATTCAGTTTCACTGATTCTTAAGCCACCACAAGTTCCCTTTTGGGTGTGGATGGGACATCTGTGAGCTGTCCAAAATTTCCAGGTTGTCTCCCTGAGATCTTTCATCCCACACAGCTTTGGGGTCTTTATGATTTGCCAGGAGGAAAAAGGTATCCTGGGAAATGGTGGCAGAGAAGCCAGGCTGGATATTGCAACCAGGCTGAGTTCAAGGTCACTGGCTGTTTGTTGATGATAGATTTTCCTCATTTCTTTAAAACTGGAAATTATATCGACCGACTGTGATCTTTCCATAAAATGGGGCCTGACAGTTTATTTGAGGATGTCTACACGGTCAGACCCCCTGATGAGTTGTTTTGAGGAGAGACAGTCATGATGGGGTAGAAAAAAGTCCCCAGGGCCTTGCATGAGGTTCGAAATCCTGGCTCCAGCACTCATTGGCTCCCTGGGAAAGCTTCAGTTTGTTCCCTACGAAACGGGAACATATTAAGGCTACCTGTTTACTGACATCTGAAGAAGAGAAGATACTGGTCAAGTGCCTGGTGTGTAGCAGGAGCTCATTAATACCAGCCGTTGCCGATTGCATATTGATGAGGACACGCCAAAATGGAACATTTCCAGGAACCGCAGGAGAACCCACCCTGACCCAGAATTCTGAGTTTGAAGGCTGCTCAGCTCAGTCCATCAAGATGTTTTCATTTGATTAAAAACCTTGTAAAGAGACAGCATCTCTAGGAACAGGACAAGAACCACTTAAACACTGAATGAGCTGGGGAACTCTTGGGTTCCTCCTCGGTGTTCACGTGCAGCTCAAGGAATTGCCGGGAGGTGCTGGGAGGGTGGGGTGCAGGGCTCTCATTTGAGATGTTGCAGATTGGTGGGCAGGGCACGTGGGGCTGAGTTCCAGCCTCATCCCTAACTTGCTGCTCTGGCAAGTCTCCCCTGGATCAGGCGATCCTCCTGGGCCCTTTCCCCGGCGCTTTTGTTGGAGCAGTTCTGTAGCATTTGAACAGCTGGCCACCCCACTGTACCCCAAAGCTCTCTCCTGGCTCTGCGCCTCTGTCCTTTCCTCTCCCCTGTCTCTGGCTGCTCTCTCTCTCTGCTTCTCCCTTCTCTTCCCTCCAGGCTCTCTCCTCTTTCTCTCTCTCTCCTTTGCCGACTCCTCTTTCTCCTGTTTCTTCAGTGGTCATCTTCCCAGGCCTCTGACCTCGGCCCCTGCCGCTTCTCGCTCTCGAACCTTTCCCTGGGGAACAGTCATCCTTGAAAGGGGCTTTGGTGACCACTGACACTGATGACGCCTACGTGTGTGTGGGCTCCAGACCCTTGTATTTATTCCTCTAACAAGTGATGCTCAAGGGCTGAGTCTTCTTGATGCTTGTGTCCCTGTCGCTCTAGGGTGGCCACTACTCCAGGCCTGCTGGGAGTATCTAGACAAGCTTCCTGGACCCACTCCCGGCATGGCCCTCTCAGCTGGTAAGCAATTTCTTGTTCGCCCTATCAAGGACCTCCTAACCAATTTCTCAGGGCCCAACAAACTCCTCCCCCAATCCCCACAGCAGGGGACTTTCCACCCCCTTCATGTAGCATAGAGCTCTGGGGTCAGGCATACCTGACTCAGATCCTCAACCTGCTGCTTTTTACCTGCATGGTAGTGCGTAATTGACTTAACCTCTCTGGGTCTCGGTCTTCTTTATAAAGTGAGGATTGTAATACCACCTTGAAGGGTTAGAAATAACCTATGGAATGTTTTTGGTACATGATGGGGGCTCGGTAGATGGTGGCTGTTATCATTATCAGAACTATGAGTGGCGGCTGTTGTGAGCTCCTGTGACCTCCCCTCCTCCTGGCTCCCGCCGAAGCCGACCCGGCTGCCCTGGCTCCAGATTCTCTTACCGAGTACCTACCTCCTCCTCATCCACTCATCACTCCCTCTTCTCCATGCGTCTCTTTTATCCCCCTCCTTCTCCAGCTCTCGCCCAGAGCCCCACCTTTCCCTTAGTCTCTGCCCTCTGACTTCATGGCACCTTGGGGGCTGCACTCCTTCACTTCCCAGTCAAGCCCTACGGCTCTGTGAGATCAGAGATTTGCTGCCTCTGCACTGTCACCAAAACTGCCTCAGTCAGAGTTGCCAGAGGCCTCCGAAATGTCAGACCCAGGAGTGTTCTCACAGCCCCTCTCCTCCCCCATTCCCCTGTAGCATCAGAGGCTGACGATGAGCCCCCCGCCCCTGCCCCCACGTTTTTTTCTGCCTTCTTCTGAACCTCCTGAATTCCATGACACAGCACTCCTGTGGTCTTCATCCTATTAGACAGGTCTCACTCTCCTTTGCTGGCTCCTTTCCTTTAAAATGTAGCTTTTCCTTAAGCAGTGTCTCCCCCTCCGCCCCCTCCCACTAACCCCTCCCTCCTCCTCTGTCTCCCTTGGGAATCTCGCCTCCCCTTATTGGCTTATGCCCTTCTTTAGCCACAGATTGATCTCTCTCTTTCTCTCTCCCTCTATCTCTTTCTCCCTCCTCCCTCTATCCACTCTTTCCCCAAACCTCCACATTTAACTCTCTGTTGGATATTGTCACATGGATAAACTCAATTTGACCTGTCCAAGGATCAGTCTCATCCATGCCTCCCTCACCCAACTATCTATTCCTGCAGCATGCCTTGAATTTTCGCCTCTACTGAAAATTCCAAAATCAGTGAGTTCTTCATTCACTCACTCACTCACTCACGCATTCTCTCTGCAAATGTTCTTTAGAACCTCTTCTCTGCCAGGCATTGTTCTGGTGCTGAGGCTGAGGCTGTGGCCGAGCACGAGGGAGTGCCAGCATTCAGTGAGTTGGGGAGGCAAACACTGGACAAAGGCCACAGGAGGACCTGGTGAGCTACAGTCGGGGTGGGGGCTAAGGGAGAGGTCTGGAGCCTGCGACTTCACAGCGCTGTCTGTGTCCACACCCTCCTCTCCTGTGGCTGTTAATAATGCCTCAGTTCGGGCCTCAAGGTTCTGGATTGGTGCCTAGCCTTAAACTCTGTCCCTCCCCCAGCTCCCATCCATCCTCACATGGCCGTCCGATTAATCTTCCTAAAGGGCAGACCTGCTCATGCAAACACTCCCTGCAATGGCTCCACGTGGCCTTGTCAATCCGACCCGAGTCCTTGTGCTGACCTTCAAGTCCTCCCCTGCCTAGCACCTGCCTGCCTGGCTCTTCATTTCCCACTCCTTGTATGTGGCTCTGCCTCAGCTGGACCCCAGCACATTTTCTTTCCAAGCCTCTGGGCATTTGTTCATGCTGTTTCCACAGCCTGGAAACCTCTTAACCTCATGTCTGCCAGTTCAAATCCTGGCTCTGCTACTTATTAAGTGACCTTGAGCAAGTGACTTCATCTTTTCTTATCTGTAAAATGGAGACAATAATGCCTATGCCCAAGGTGTGTTGCAAGCATTAAATGAGATAATGCAAATAAAAATGCTCAGCTCGGTTTTTGGTACATAGTAGTCGCTCCATGTTAGCTTCATCATCGTCATCATTATCAGTAGCAGCAGGAGCAGTATTAACTCTGAAAGATCCCTCCATGAGATTCCCCATGTCCTCTCGATGAGATGTGATGGTGTCTTTCTCTTCTGAGACCCACGGTGTTCCCTAGGGCAGCCTCGCCTACCTCCAGCTCGCGCTTTCTGTCCAGTGTTGTTTTTCTCTTCTCAGTCCCTCTGAGCTCCGCCCAGGGAGGGCCTGTCTCTTGTGCCTTTCCCCTATCCCCGAGTCCTGGAGGCTCCTGGTTCATGGTGGAGCCTCAGGGTGTAAGCTGGGTTGAATTTAATGTTGTGTCAGCGAGTATGTGAGAATGTATGCGTTCAAAGTGGGACCCTGCATTCTAACTATGAACTTAGGCGTCGTGTGAGTCTCCGTGAGCGTGTGTGCAGGCGTGTGTGTAGACGTTGTGCCATATGCCTGTGCCGAGTGCCAAGGTCCCCAGGTTGCTTGCAGTTGAGGATT